TTTTTTTTGTTTAGGCAACTGTGATTAAGTGACTTGCCCAGGGTCACACAGCCAGTAAGTGTCAAGTGTTTGGTCTGAGGTCAGATTTGAACTCAGGTCCTCCTGGCTTCAGGGCCAGTGCTTTAACTGCTGCGCCACCTACCTGCCCCCAAAATACATATTTTTAAAGGCCATATTTTTTTCCTACCAGAACGCCAGTTGTTAAACATGTGCCAGCATGGCCCTATCCTACAGTCTCTTTCAGCTCATAGATCTGTGATCCTATGAGAATTCTTTGGAGTCCTCCTTATTATTATTGTGATTGTTCTTATTTGCAAAAAAGATACCTTGGCATCTTAGAGAGAGCTGGTTGGGACTTCAGAGGTCATCTATGTCAACTGTATTTTTACAGATGAGGAAACTGAGGCTCTGAGCGAATAAATGATTTGTCAAGGTCACAAAGATAAGATATAGCAGAGCTGGGATTCAAATTCAGATACTCCAAATCTAATGTCCTTTCCAAAGCCAGCCTGGGATTTACTATCTGAGGTGGGTAATCCACAAAGTGGATAACTGAGAATTGGCTGTCATTGAAATCATTCACCTAGAATGGGACTTTTCTTATTAGTTCCACCTGAATCCAAAGCTTTTTCTGTGTGTTTTTGGAACATGCTTGGTTTTGGGTTTTTTAGTTTAGCTTTTTTTTTTTAAAATCCAGCTTTCTCTCTATCTCCCATGACTTTATTTTTACATTTAAAGGAAGCAAAAACTAGTTAATTAATTCAAAAAGATAATGATAAGTAAATAATGAAATGATAAATAAATACTGAATGAATGAATAAATAAGTATAATAATAAAAAGAAATTAAAAGGGCAGCTAGGTAGTACAGTGGATAGAAGCAGCCCTGGAGATGACCTGAGTTCAAATCTGGATTTGTACACTTATTAGCTGTGTAACCCTGGGCAAGTCATTTAACCCCGATTGCCTCCAAAAAAAATTATTTTAAAAAGCTTAAGGGAAACTAGCTTTCATTCCAAGATTCAGTGGAATCCAACCCTCAATCAGGCCATGTTTCTTCTAGAAAAAGTGGGGGTGGAGAGTACGAGTGAAATTTGAGTCAAGGAGAGATTATTACAACTTTTCTACCTCTTTCAAAGTATCGTTTCCCCAAGTTGGAAGAAGAAGACCTGGGACCTTTGAAAGAGAAAAACATTCTCTGTCTTTTCTATTATCCCATTTCTCCTTTATTCCCCTCAAATGGAGTTGGAAATAGGGAAAAAGAACTCTCTAAAATTATGTCCACTGATCATAGAACTGCAGAGCTGGAAGAGACCTTAGAGTCCAATTTTTTACTTTACAGATGAGAAAACTGAGGCCCAGAGTCAACTTCTTATTTCCTGCAACCTGCCATCTTCCTTCTTTTACCACATACTTCACCAGAGTTGTGTTGATAAATGTTTAACAACTAGCTCTCCAGAAAAAAAAAATGCACTAAACACAATTTTAAGTTAAATTTGCTTTATTAACATTTTCTTCATCACTTTCTAAAGTCTAGAAGTCAACAAAACACTATGCCAAGCCCTGAACTATAGTGCTTACTGATTTCTGAGGTGCAAATGTGCACACTCAAAAGGTAATAATCAGCTGTGACAGAGCTGGCGCGGGCTGGCTGCAGCCCGCTCCGCATCCTCAATGTCCCCTGTGTGAGGAATTCTGGAGAATGATGCAGAAGGATCTGATTCTTTCTCTTGGAGAAACTTCCAAGCTAATAGATGAGGCAGAGGACCCCCACAGGAAATAGACTAGAACACATTAAAAAGCAACTTAACAACAGAATAAAGAACATTTCTGGGAGGGGTTGAGTTTTGAGCTGAGCTTCAAAAGTAGGTCTGTATACTGCTAAGATTTTGGAAGAATGTGTCTGTTAAATCTAGAGAGCTGAGCTCACTTTTGGCCCTCACAGCCTACCCTATAAATGTCCACTACCAGCCTAAGCCTGTGCCATTATACCTCTGCCCACCAGTCTCCTGCTGAGGTCAGAAGTGACGTGAAAGGATGCTTCATTGTCCTGCAGGATTTATTGTTATTTTTTTTAATCATGCACAGTGTTTGAAAAGCGTCCAACTCACAGAACCTCCCGTCCTCGGGGGAGCTTTTAAGTATTTGCTTGTTGTGTAGAAATGAGGGGCTGCTTTACTCCTCAGAGGATGGATAATGAGCTATGATTTATTTCCTCTGGATTCCTCTGACGCTCCCTCCCTCGCCCCTTCCACCCCCTTCTCTGCCATCAGCACGTGCACTCACAGCCCACTCTCCTGTACTGGCTGAGCTGATCACAAACGCATTATGGGGAAATGTGTTCTACTACGGAGCAGCCAACTGTCTGACCCTGACCTCCACCCCTCTTGACCCTGAGAATCCCTCTGCCTTGAGGGTCATTCCAGTCCTGTATTTAAAGGTAGAAGAGTTCTCAGGAGCCATCTAATTAATCCGACCTCACTTTATAGATGAGGAACCTTAGGCCTAAAGAGGTTGTGACCCTGCCCAAAATCACTCTTGTGACCTTGGAATGGGAGAACCGAGGTAAGATCCCAGATTGTCTGATACCGTATCTGGCTCTTTTCTCTATTACAGGGGTTTAAAGCTAGAAGGAGGCTTTGTTCTTGATTCATTCTGTTTTCACAGAACCTCAGGGATGGAAAGAGCCTCAGAGATTATATAATCCAACCCCAATCTGGAATCCTCTTGATAACATCCTTGATAAATGACCTAGAATAACTGGGAACCTCATTACCTCATGGCAGCTCACTGCACTTTGGGATGGCTCTAATTGTTGGGAAATGTTTCCTTGCATGGAGTCAAACCTTCCTCTAAGCAACTTCCAACCATTGCTTATAATAGTGTAGTACAGCAGAAACCAGAATGGATTTATTTAGTCAGAGGACCTGGGCTCAAATCTCACTTCTGACTGTGTGACTTTGGGTGCGCTATTTATTTTGTCCAAGTCTCTATTTACTCATCTGTAAGATGAGAAGGTTGAGGGGTAGCTAGGTGGTGCAGTGGATGGAGCACCAGCCCTGGAGTTAGGAGGATCTGAGTTCAAATCCGGCCTCAGACACATAACACTTCTTAGCTGTGTGACTCTGGCCAAGTCACTTAACCCCAATTGCCTGTCAAAAACAAACGAGATGAGAAGGTTGAACTAGCAGGGTCCCACATTTCTGTCCAATTCTAAATCTATGATCCTGTGAACCTATAAGTCAGATTCCAGATATTTGATGGCAGCTATCATGGCCCCTCTAAACATCCTTAGTTCCTACAACCAATCTCATATGGCATGTGATGGCAGGTTGGTTCTTTAACCATCCTGGATGTTTTCCCAGCTCTGTCTTGTCAATGCACTCCCTAAAATATGTCTCTCAGAGCTGAAGGCAATCTTCTAGATGAGATATTACAAGAGCAGAGGAAGGCCATTATTTTGCTCACTCTGAACACCTGCTTCTGTCAATGAAGGCCAAGGCCACGATTCCGCCCAGCATTTTTGACAGGTATTCTAGGACCTGAGACAGGCAGCATGGCCTGGGAAGATCAGGGTTCAAGTCCCACCCTTGACACACTCTCTGTGTGACCCTGGGCAAGTCACAACCTCTTCTGCTCTAGGCAACTAAAACTATAAATCCCAGAGGAGGTGCTGACCCTCATTGGTAGAGGGAATTCCCTCACCTGGGAGTTCACACTAACTAATGAAATCACAGCTCTGGTCCTTAACCTTATCCTTATTTTAGGATTTACCTAATTCTATCAGAGGCAACTGACGGTACAATGGATAGAGAATTAGGCCTGGAATCAGGAAGATCTGAGTTCAAATCCAGCCTCAGGCACCTACTGTCTGTGTGACCCTGGGCAAGTCACTTTAACTTCTGACTGCCTCAGTTTCCTCAATTGTAAAATGGGGATAATAGTAGCACCTACCTCTCAGGCTTGTTGTGAGGATCAAATAAGATAATATTTGTAAAGCACTTAGCACAGTGCCTGGCACATAGTAGGTGCTTTATAAATGTTTATTCCCTTTCCTCTAGGATTCCTGGTGGGGGCATTCTGCTGCCTTATATCTGATGACCCTGGTCTTGACTCTGCATGCACGGACATGTGGATAGATTTAGAAGGACTCTCCCTTGTCTCAGCACCTTCAGTCTAGCAACTGGACAGCAGGTGATAGGAACACGATTGTTCTCTAATCAAATCTTGAGAAAGGAACTCTACTCAATGTACTTTCCTATGTGGATGGCTGGCTTAACAACTTGTTTTAAATCAAACTCAAATGGGACCTGTGAAGTTCCCTTCCCCCTCCAACCAGGATTCCTGTAAAGACTTTGGAGTTGAAGACAGACAGTCTTACGCTGTACAGTGGTAAGAACGCTGGGTTTGGCTCCAGAGTCTCTGGGTTCAAATCCTGCCTATCACTTGCTATCTCTGTGCTGCCAGACAACCTCTCTGGGCCTCAGTTTCCTCATCTGTGATGAAAGGATACTGAAATAAATAGATGCTAAGTTCCCGCCCAGCTCTAAATTTAGGTTGGACCTCTGGAGGATTTTAGCCAGTTCAGGGATCTAAATCAGAGGTCACAGGGAAGGAAATCCATCTCTGGCTATATGACCAGAAAATAGTACTTCTCTTTCTGTGCCCTCATGTCCACATCTACATCAGAGCCACAGTGACCTTTTATGAAATCCTAGAATGATAGAGCTCCAGAGATCATGTTACCCGACCCCGTCATTCTACAGCTAAGGAAGCTTCAGCCCACAGGAGAAGGTTGATCCATCCAAGATCACACAGCTAGTTAATGGCAGGACTGGGATTAGAACCAAGGTCTCCTAACTCCCATCTCCAGTGTTCTTTCTAACCATTTTCCTCGATTGACACAGGTTCATCTAGAAGCCCCAGGGATGGGGAATGGGGTGTCTCTTAGTAATTGGGTGTTTATCTCTTTTTCTGCCCCATCCCCACTCCTTGTACCCAGATCTGAAGCCGTGGGTCTCTAACTTCACCTACCCTGGAGTTCAAGATTTCTCCCAGCTTGCTCTAGACCCCTCCAGGAACCAGCTCATCGTGGGAGCCAGGTAACAGCACAGGACCCATTAGCAGGTCCCACCGGAGGAGTGGGATGGGATCTGGAGTAGCCAATGAGCTAGAATGAATCAACTAAATCCCAGGGAATTTCCAGCCCTAGTCACTCATTCATGGGGAGGAGGACATAAGGATTTTCTTCTCCTGTCACCCCTCACAGAGTCTTTAGAAACTCTTTCCTCAGCAAGTATGTGTTTATGCACAAGACTAGAGTTTGGGATCTGAAAGAAATCAGGCAATAAATAACGGAAGACTTTCTAAAAAAGGCCGTGTCCTCATTCCCCTCTTATACCCTTCTGGGGTGAATGGAAAACCTACCAGCTAGAAGCTACTGTGTACACTTTCCACTAGTTTTTCCCTAGAAATTGAAAGATCAGGAAGATCCCACGACTGAAAAATATCTCCCTCAGACACTAGAGATTTTTCCTTTAATCACACACCCTGAAATTCTACAAGTCAGAGCCTTTGACAGTGGCTTCCTTTAAAGTTCAAAATACCATCAGGGAAGGTATGAGTCCTTAATACCTTAGCAGGAATTAGTTTAATGGTATTGCTTTCTACCAGACCTCTAGCTAAGGACTGACAGAATAAGAATTGTGATTGATTGATTGGGGAAAGGGTGGGGCAGAGGGAAAAGCAATTTAAAAAAGTGGTATACTGTGTGGAGGAAGCCGGCCTGAGCTTTGGGTAGCCAGAAGGCAACAGGCAATAATCTAAATTTTGAATATTATTCATGACAAGGGTTAATAACACTTATGTAATAAATATGTGCACAGTTTAATATAACCTTAACATATAACAATAAGGAACATTGTAAAAGGCCCTTTCCAAAAGAAAGCCCACCACAGAGATTAAAAATTTTTTTTAAAAAGAAAAAATGGATACTTGAGGGCATGGTTTAAGGACTTCAGAAGGTGGAAGAGGAATGAGGACCAGGATGCATGGGGTGGGGGGGACAATTTTGCTTGAAGATCCCTGCTTCCCAAGGGCAAGATAATAAGGCTTATAAAATATGTCCCTCACAATTATCTATAGAGGTAGGCAATGCAAGTATTATTATCTTTATTGATATGTTGTCTGATAGTGATATATTGTTTCCTTGGTGAAGAAATTGAGGTTCAAAGTTGTTCAATTATTTCCCCAAGATTATATGACTACTAAGTGCAGAAGCCCATTGTATGTGGTGTTGCCTTTGTTTCCAAAGTAAAGAAAACCCCCTGTGAATGTTCTTGATAAACTGAATTGTGCTCTGTCTCTGGTTGGTAAAATTTCAAGGAGATACGCCTCCTGGGTACCCTGGGAACCTGGGATAATTAAGAGGGTCCTTAAATCATTTTCCTGCCTTGGTCAGTGTCCTTCACTCCCTTCCACCCTTCACCTTCCCATAAGAATTCTCTCTTGGTTTGACTTTCCACCAGAACCTAACTAGGGTAGAGTAGCTGAGGCTTTGTCCCAGGATACCAAAATTTAGAAGATATTGACAGTGCTTATGTTCCTTCAGGAGACAGAAACAACTGAGTTTAGGACCTGTTCAGTGTAAATAATTAGTTTAAATGAACAACTACCAATTAGTACACTTTCTCAATCCTTTCTCCCATACCCCCTTACCCCAGGTGACCTCCTCCTGGCCTCAATACGCTCTGCTCCCTTCTCTAGTGGAGGCACCCCCCCCACACACACACAGTAGCCTTGAGGTCTCCAAAATCTCTTCCCTTAATATGGCTTTGTGTCTTGAGATCCAAGTTTTCTCCCCAAGGTTTCTCTCCTGTCCCCTAACTGAATTTGCATTGAAATATTAATTTGAAGGAGTGTTTTGTGCTGCCTGTTTTGGTTACCGGAAGTGTTCATCATATCTCTGGTTCTTGCCCTCTCTCTCCAGGCCCGGTCCCTCACCACTTTTCCTTTGTTTCTGTGGCCGTTGGGTTATGAGTGGCCTTCATCCCGGGGCTCTGTTGCCCCAGACCACTGGCCAAGAAAGACACCTTGGGCTCCAGCAGAGCAGGAGATTCACCCCTTGGGAGCTGGGTGGGATTGCAGGGCCCAGCCATTAACTAAGCCTTGTTCCCCTGTGCTCAGTCTTCATAGTTTATTGATCATGTAGCACAGTCCCAGCTCACCACTTAAAACAGAGGTTAAAGGTGACATTGTTTCCCTCTGTCACTGCTGCAGAGGGTGGGGGTAAGGGGTGAGGGATGTATAGAGAACAGAGTGGGATCTGAATTGATTTCCTTGGTAATCTCTATCAGAGACCCTGGGAGAGACATAGAAGGAAAGAGGTGGCCTGGGGCTGGCACTTTCAGGCTAGTAGCATCTTCTGTCCATCTGAGCTGGTGGCAGGAGGCTGGATAAGATGACCCCTTTAAGCCCGAGGACTCTATTGTTCTGAGAAACCATTGAGGTCCTGGAATTTGAGAGGTTGCTGAGAGTTCTCACTCACCCTCGTTTCTACCTTTGCTTAAGGATTCTTCTCTTGCAGCCAGGTTTAAACCTTTGAACCAGGAGAGACCCTCCTCCATGTACAAGGATGCTGTTAGAAATGGGCCATTCTGTCTAGAGGCAAGGGGATGACCAGTTTGACCTTCCTAGGGCCTTTCCAGGACTCTTGAGTGTGGGGTGTGTGTATGTGTGTTAAATTTTTTATTCATTTTAAACTTAAATACAAAACAAAAAAAAATGTCCATATACACAGCAGAACATGAGAGGATTCAAAGTAAAACAATAAATTTCCATTTCATGAAAACCTATGTAATAAATCCTACACATTATTTTCAAAGCAACCCAGCTTTTCTGTGCTTTCTTCTAGGTATTCTTTTGCTCTCTGGCTGCGCACTTTTTATTTTTTTTTTTCCTCTCCTTTCCCCCCACCCTAGAGAAGGCTATATATTTTTTAAAAATAATCTTGTTCCTTGAGGGTTGGCTGGTTGTATGCCTGGAGTAAGTGTGTCAGCTCCAGGTAGGTCAATATTTGAGTGTTTTTCAATGAGTATGACTTCTGATTTCTGCATCTTTTATTTCCACAGGAACTATCTCTTCAGACTCAGCCTTACCAACGTCTCTCTCCTTCAGGTACATTCCCCAGTCTCAGCCCAATCCCTCTGCACCTCCCAACGATCTGTGTGAGCTCTCTGCTCTCACACAGCATCAAGGTTAAGAGCAGGAGAAACCAGGTGGGATGTCTAGGAGACCTCTGAGATTGAGTGGGGAATTGTGGCAGATGGGAATCCTTCCTTCTTTCCTTAACTAAGTAACAGGAAATCCCCTGGAGTTAGTCATTTTGCTTTTCTAGACCTCAGTTCCAATATTTATGGGATGGTACAAGTGGATAGAGCAGGTGGTTATAGAGTGTGGAAGACCTGAGTTCAAATTCTGCCCTAGGAACTTATTTGTGGTGAGACCCTGTAGAAGTCACTCCACCTCTTCCAGCCTCAGTTTCCCCATCTATAAAATTAGGGGATTAGACTCAAAGGCCTCTAAGGTCCCTTCCAGCTCTAAATATATGATATTGTAATTTTTTTTGTATTTATGTCCTCAGTTTTCTGCCATATAATAGGCATTTAATAAATATTCATTGATTGAGAGAAATGAGAATAATATCTTTTTGGTCTTATATTCCTTCCTACAATATGCTGAGGGGCAGCTGGATGGCTAGATGGCTTAGCAGAAAGAGTGCCGGGCCTGGAGTCAGGAAGATCTGAGTTCAAATCCAGCCTCAGGCACTTACTAGCTATGTAATCCTGGGCAAGTCACAGTTTCCTCATCTGTAAAATGAGCTGGAGAAGGAAATGGCAAATCACTCCAGTAGCTTTGCCAAGAAAACCCCAAAATGGGGTCACGAAGAGTTGAACATGACTGAAAATGACTAAAACAACAGCAAAATATGGGGAAGCTAATGATAACAACAACAATAAAAGATAACAGTTATATAGCACTTACTCTGTGCCAGGCACTGTGCTAAGTGCTTTGCAATTATTATTTCTTTTGACCTTCACCACAACCCTGCCAACTAGGTGCTATTATTATCCCCCTTTTTCAGATGAGGAAACTGAGGCAGACAGCGGTTAAGTGACTTGCTTAGGGTCACAGAGCTAGGAAGTAACTGAGATCAAATTTGAAGTCAAGTCTTCCTGACTCTAGGCCTCCTGCTCTATCTACAGAGCCCCTTAGCTATTCCTGATAATAATAGCTGCTAATTCCCAGGGCTGTTAGGAGGATCAAATATGTAAAGCACTTTGTAAATCTTAAAGTACTATATAAATGATAGCTGTTGTTATCATCATCATCATCATCATCATCATCATCATTATTATTGTTATTTCCCAAACGTGCTCTGGGTCTTTTCACCTTCATGTCCTTTTCCATATTCCCAGAATGGCTTCCCTCTCCATCTTTGCTGATAGAATTCCTGCCCATCCCTGCTGAATTCTCTCTCTTCCATGAAGCTTTCCTTGATCTCCTTTGGCCTTTCACCTCACAGAAAATTTTGTTTTTTTTATCTTGTCACTTCCATGATCAAGTGTTATTTTCAATGACAATTATCCCTGTGCCATATTCCTCTACTGGACTCTATGCTCCATGGGAGCTTCTATATGATGCATATTATCTGAACTTGGTATATTTCCTAGCACAATGTTCTGCACACAGTATGTGCTCAATAAATGTTTGTTGGGTTGAATACATGCACGCCTGTATCAGCCAGAAGACACGGTGATGGCAGGTAATTGCGAAGCATATGAAGGGAGGAGCAACATGACCCAAGCCGTGCTTTTGGAATTTCACTTGGCAGGTGGATGGATGGATGGAAGCTGAGGCCCCTTCTACCTCTAAAATTCTATGATTTTCTGATTTTGAGTGAGAAAGACTCCAAATCTGGGTTTAAATGGAGGGTTTCTTGGTTCTGGGCTTCAGGAACAAGGAGCATCCATGGTTCCTCATTCTTATTTCTCAACCTAGCCAATATGACTATACCAGAACTGAGAAATGATTTTAATTTTCATGGATGGAACAGCTAATTTCTTATAGACTGAAGGAACTGGGCATGTATAGCCTACAGAAGAAAAAAACTGGAGGCTGGGGGTGGGAGTCGGGGCATGTTAGCTGCCTTCAAGTATCTGAAGGACTGGCAGGTGGAGATGGGATTAAATTTGTTCTCTTTGGCTCCAGAGGGCAGAACCAGGAAGCATAAGGGGAGGTGAGAATAAGGAGACAAATTTAGTCCTGCCTTCAGGAAAGACTTCTTAACAATTGGAGCTGTCTGAAAGTAAAACAAGCTGCTCCAGAGTGGAGGGTTCTTCCTTCTTGGATAGAGGTCTTTAGGAAAGGGCTGGAAAATCACTTGTCAGTATATTATGATAGGGATCCCTTTTGTCTGTGGTTTGAGGTCCGTTCCAATTCTGAAATCTGCAATGCTGTGATTCATTTCCCCAAACTCATCCCCCATTCCTCAAGAGTGCAGGAAGGAAGTTGTAATAACACCTCTCTGCTTTTGAGCATTTTGGACAGATGGGACTCACATCTTAAGCAAGAGTGGGAATTCATATTGCTTGAGATGGTATCTCATCATTTTGCTGCTTCTAAGTGGGAATATAATCGTGATATTTAGAGATGGGAAGGATATTAGAGAGTATTAACTAAGCAGAATGGCATTGTAGAAAGAATGTTAAATTTGGAGTTATGGGAACTGAGTTCAGACCCTAGCTCTGCCACTTAATTACCTGTGTGACTGTGGTTGAGGTCCTTCCTCATCTGTAAAATGAGGTGGTTGGTAGAGTTGATTTCTAAGGTCTCTTCCATATTTACATTTATGGTCATTTACACCAAGGATTATTAGCCGTCATGATGTTATTGACCTCCTTGGCAGTCTGGTGAATCTTTTGAACAGACCTCTTTTTGGAACAAATTTTTAAATAATTGAAGGAAGTTTTAAATTTCAGTTAGAAGTTACTGAAAATGGTGATGTATTTTTTTTCCTTCTAAATTCATTGATCCCCTAAAACCCTAGAAAACCTCTGATCTAGTCCAACTTTCTCATTTGACCGATGAGGAAACTAAGGCCAGACGGGGAAGTGATTTCTCTAAAGTTAAGCCGGAAGTACATTGCAAAACCCAGGTGCTAAAGACTCCAAACCCAATGCTCTTTGCCCTAAGCCACACTGCCTCAGTCATATTCTCAGCCACTCCTAAGGCTTCCTTCCCCTCTACTTCTACAGTGCTTATGATCTCTCTGTTCACAATATCGTCATTAGAAGTCGGGAATAGGGGGGAAAGGGAAGAATCATTCAGTCACTGATCATTTATTAAGTGCCTCTCTGTCATAGGTACTGTGATAGGTGCTCGGAGTATCAAGACAAAAATGAAATAGTGCCTGCCCTCAGGGAGCTTCTGTTTCTACTGGGGGCTGGAAGGAGAACAATATGCACACAGCGAACTCCAGATAAGGACTGGACCTATCTCTATGTATTCTCTTAACTTGGAGTCAAATTTTTGTCTTCATTTCATCGACATAAGGAACTCTTAAATGAGGAAGCTCCATCTGCTAATGCATGTTAGCACCTTCTCTGTAATTCATAATCTTAAAGGGTTGCCCAGAGTACCAAAAAGTTGTCTTCTTGCCTGTAGTCACTCACTCATCATATGTCAGAGACAGGAACTGAACTCAGGTCTTCTTGGCTGTATGATCAACTCTATCCATTACCCCCACACTGCCTTTGTACACAGAGAAACAAATTCAAAATATATACCAGCTAATTTTGGTGGGAGTGAGGACAGGGCACCAAGGCAGCTAGATGGTACAGTGGATACAGTGGTGGACCTAGAGTCAGGAAGACTTGAGTTCAAATCCAGCCTCAGACACTTATGAGCTGTGTGACCCTGAGCAAATCACTTAACCTCTGTTTGCTTCAGTTTCCTTGTCTGTAAAATGGAGATAAAATAGTCCCTACCTCTTTGGGTTGTTGTAAGGATAAAATGAGATATTTGTAAAGTGCTCTGTAAGCCTTAAAGTAAAAATGCTACCTATTGTTATTTAATTGGATGGAGCTGGGAAGACTCTAGCAATTGATTTAATCAGGATATTTAGAAAACAATCAAGAAGCAGTAACATTTATCCTAAATTTATCCTAAGTCATCCTAAATTTAAATGATCCAGATAATGCCCCAGCATTAGGTCTCAAAAGGAGAGCTGGCTAGTCACCCCTATTGACTTAGACAATCAGGGTCACAGCACATTTGGGGGATCCAGATCTTTAATCTGACCCACAGCTACTATGGCTGTTCCTCAGCAGAAGTGGAGATGAGCAGATCTTAAAGACCCCTGGCAAGTAGTCAAGTCAAACACTCTTCTCTCCATAAGAAGGCTATGGGTATGGATGGATCCCTGCTTTTAGAAGCAATGCAGGACCCATATCTTAAAGCACAGCCCCCTAAGGCAAAGTTCTGACTGCTCTCATGTGAACATGTGGGGCTGCCTTAGCCCATTCAGTGGAAAGAGTTGGACAGGCAGGTACATGTGAAATATAAAACAGCAAAAAGTTGGGCCCCCCCCATTCCAATGGCTAACAAGCAAACCTCTGTGTGTGGTTGCCAGCAGGCAGGGATGCTAACAGCCTAGGAGACGATTCTTCCTGAAACACTGTCTCAAGAATGCCTATCCTTCGGATTCTACAAAGAAAGTCTGCCACTGATCCCACAAAACAAACTGCCTGACCTGAGAATTGAGGTGATTTTTATTCAAGAAGTAGAGAGCTTCAAGGGACCTTATAAAGATCATCTAGTCTCAGGATTCTTAACACTTTTTTTGTGTCAGGGACCTCTTTTTCCAGTATGGCCAAACCTTTGCAGAAAAATATTTTTAAATGCATGATACACAGGATTACAAAAAATCAATTATATTGAAATCTAGTTATGAAAATAATTTTAAAAGTTCCCAGACCTCTCTTCTAGTCCATTGCTCTCTTCGCTCCTTCTGGAAGGAAGCAAGCATTTATTATGTGTCTACTATGTGCCAGGCACTGTGCTAAGTGCTTTAAAAATATCTCATTTGATCCTCACAACAACCCTGAGAAGTAGGC